AACCTGGATAACCTGTTTTACTCCCTCCTCTTCCTTAGCTTCTGAGGCAATCAGTCCACCCAGCTCTGCGAGGGCTTTGTTTGTTGTTAATTCATTTGTTTTCCTTCACACGATTCTTTTTTTTCTTGGAGCTTTCTGCAGCTACTGTTTCACTGCAAGTCTCCTAATTGGATTCCCCACTTCCAGTGCCTCTTCCAATGTGTCCACCCGGTTTAATCTTCCTAAAGCAATGCTTTGATCATATCACTTTGCTGCTAAAACTGCATTGTTGATTGGCGTCTCAGTCTGGTGTTCAAGGATCTCCACAACAGAATCCCATCGAGACCAAACGGCAAACTGGTGCAGCAAAGACTTTGATTTTCAGATGTAGATGGATATGGGTTCAAAACTTGATTTTCCCATTTCATAGTTGTATATTCTTGAGGCTCATTTTCCTTGTCTGAAAAATGGGGATAACGAAACCTACCACTTAAGGACATTCATAAGTAAGAACTTGGAAAGTTGAAATAGTGTTACATGTTGTATTAAGGTTGCAACATCAACCCACAGATGCTTATAATAGGGAATATTCAATTTCAGACCTGTCTGGTTCAAAACCTTAAGTAAGGTTGTCATCAGTGTGGTTTAGCACAGGCAGGTTAGGATCAGCATGCTACATGCTTTGGGGGCTAAGTGGCAATCTAACCACCAATTATGGCATTGTTCCTAATTTCAAACTGCTGGCTTACAGATGACCTTTTGGAAATATTTTATTTGCAAGTAGAGAACTTCCTGTGTTATTAATTTTGAGAATTGAATTTCCTTGATTGGCTGCTTTCCACTCTACTATTTCTATTTAAAAATATTTCCCTGTAGAATATCAATTTTGTAAGGGGTTGCTATGAACTCTTCATGGAGAAAAAGTTTACATTTATGATGGACACACGAAAATTATTAGCTATTATCTCTAAGGCTTGCCCAACATCCAGTAAAGGTAGTAAAGTTACAACACATAAAAAGAACCTTTAAAGTTGGTTCCACAATCTCAACAAGTTCAAATCTCATTTCATGGCATAAATTCTGAATCAGCGTTGGGAAAACTTAGCTCTGCAGGAGAGGCTAGTTGTCTTCTTTCTGCTAGTCATGGATGGCACCATCAGAACTGCCAAAATTAACCTCAACAGGCATTCATTCACTCACTCATGCATCTATGCAGCAGGTCCTCCAAGTGAGGTATGGCTGGTGATCCCCACAGGATAGATTTCAGTCTCATAAGCTCTCGCCAAGAATTTACAGCACTACTAATTGCTTGATTCATTTCTGAAGTCAGAAAGTCTGGAAAGTCTTACGAGAGAGATAACAATCATGCCAAGATTGGTAAAACGATTATTTAATAAGTATGAGATTTTAAACCAGTCTCTACAGACACAATTTATGAGTGTCTGAATTAATATGCACTGTAATATATTTTTTGTTTTTGCATTTTTAATGTTTTCAAAAAATGAACACTTATATGATTAAAATAATGTAAAAGTGAAATCCCCCGTTTCTCTCCTCTACCCTTTCCTTCTTCCACTTAATTTCATTTCTCAGAGGCAGCTACTTTTGACACTTTGGGGTGTCTCAAACTCCTTTTATTTCTCTTGCAGTATTTTGAAGTTCTCCCTAGGCATTCTTTATGGTTAGAAGCTAGAACAACATTGCCATTTAGCTTCTTATAGATTTTGGAACTCTTTTATACACTGCTTACATTAAACATATTATGAAAATGAAGAATCCCTTTTTTCCCCCCACTCAGGTATTAACTTCTCATTTTTTTCTATCAAATTTATACTTACATGGACTATAGATTTATACAATCTACATAGTTCCATGACTACAGGGTTTCATTTTTTAAATAACATTCAAATAATAAAATAAAAAGAGCTGAAGACCCAGTATACTTAAAAAAAACCCTTAATTTTCCTTGACATTCATTTTAAAATGTCTGTGGGAGAGAAAAGCAGGCAGACAAAAACAGTTTATAGTTACTTTTCAAGGTCATCTAGCTAGTGAGAGTAAAACAAAGAAATTGAATAGGAATCTTATTTTTCTTCAAATGTTAGGTCAAGACTTTGACAATGTATCTTCACAAGTATTCTGAAACTCCTCCCACAATATACTCATCTTGACAGAGAGGGGAAGGTAAGTATGCAGAGTTGAGATCCTATGTATAAAGAGAACGTTCTGGCCAGGCACAGTGGCTGAAGCCTGTAATCCCAGCACCTTGGGAGGCCAAGGCTAGGCGAATCACTTGAGGTGAGGAGTTCGAGACCAGTCTGGGCAATATGGCCAAACTCTGTCTCTACTAAAAATACAAAAACTAGCCGGGTGTGGTGGTGCACACCTGTAATCCCAGCTACTTGGGAGGCTGAGGCATGAGAATTGCTTGAACCTGGGAGGTGGAGGCTGCCGTAAGCTGAGATCATGCCACTGTGCTACAGCCTGGGCAACAGAGTGAGATCCTGTCTCAAAAACCAAAATCATAAAGCTAATATTCTAAATTTTTAATATTCGATATGATATAGCTATATTTAGCCTTTTCCTATAACTGGGATCCTGAAAAATGGTACATATTTTGCATTTGCCTGAATTAAGTTATACTTAAAGCGCTCAAAGGGGCACGGGGACTCCACATTGAAAATAATCTAAAGATAAATCCTTTGTTAAGGTGAATAACCAAAATAACCCTCCAGTAATTGGTAACTGTTTAGTACCTTTGGATTTGTGTGTGTGTTTGATGATAATGTTCAGCTATGGCTTCACTTTTGAAAGATTTATGTTAAATTTTATTTTGTCTTGGTAGTATTAGAGGCTTAGATTGTAAGATCTACTTTGATAAATATAAAACAGAAAAATTCTGGCTGCTTTAAAACACTCAGGCACTGGTTGTTGAAACAATGTATTCAGATTGACTAGTTTTCAGAGTTCTATGTTTGTTCATTATTCAATAAATATTTATCAAAAAGTTGTTCTATAATATGCTCTAAGTATAAAATAGAGAGCAAAAATGGGTACAAAATAAGAGCAGCTAATACCTACTGAGCACTTATAACATATTGTGCCCTTTTCTAAGTGCTTTACATGTATTACCTCATAGCATCCTCTCAAAAAGTCTAAGAAGTAGAAGTGTTAGCACCCCCATTTTGCAGTCAATAAAACCCAGGCACAGAGAGGTTAGGTAACTTGTCCAGTGTTTCATAGTTAGTACATGATGAGTTGGGATGTGAATCTGGGCAGCATGATTCCAGAGTCCGCACTCTAACTGCTGGGACATACTAACTCTCCTATATTTTAACAGCTTTCCTTGTAGTATACAGTATAATGAATGAGATGCTTATTGAATAAATCATCCAAGCAAATGAAAAAATTTAACTCTGATGAATGCCACGAAGGGGATTGCAGCAGAAACCAGGGAGCTGTTACCAAAATATGTCTCTTTTCCTTCTGGATACACAGACTACATTCCTAGCTTCCCTTGCAGTCATGTGACCAAGTTCTGGCCAGTGGAATGTGGACAAAAGTGAGGTACACACTTCCAGGTCTGGACCATAAAACATATGTATACCAATCTGTCAAGTTCTTATTCTTTTAATCGACCTAAGGCAGAGAGCGTGGCCTGAAGACACAAACGAACAGCTGTCAGAATTGAGAACTTCTCAAAGATTTACTTAGGCTTAATAGAAACTTATGCATATGAAAATGCCCATAGCAGAGGGAACATTGGGTAAATCATTTAAGTTTGAAGAGAAGGAAATTTTAGACACCGTTTAGTCTGTAACCTGAATTTATCTTGGCTGACTTATGGCCAGTCTCCATATAGTATGGTATTCAGAAGAAATACAGGTCTTATATCCAAATAAGAAATGCAAAGTAATTTACATTTTTAGCGAAGATTTTTAAAGAGGCACCAAAGGGAGACATATACCACAAGAAGGTTTAACAATCCTTTCAATCATTTAATTCCTCTAAGTCCCTCTCATCAGGGCATATTTCTTGTCTCATATTTCCCTCTCATCATGACATATTTCTTGGGGACCTCTTGTCCTGGACTTGACAAACCGTGAGAAAGTCTTTAGAAGTATGGGAAATCGTGTTGGGGAAGGGAGGAAGAAGATGAAGGCTATGTACATTTCCATGTTTTGGTTACATGTCCAGACAACCCATTTGCAAATGAATAAAGTCAGGTCTAAATAAATTAGGTGATTTGACATTCACCTCTTGGGTCATACGGAATTGGGCCTAGAATTCAGTGTTACTTCATTTGAAATAACCCTTATTATGGTTTCCTAGCAGGCCATCCTATAGCCTGCCATATATGGTCATATTCCACCCCTACTCGACAGAACGCTAGGGAGAGTAAGGAAGCCTGAGTTTTTGCTTCTACTAGGTTCGATGACCTTGGGCAGGTTGTCTTCTCTAAGGCTCTGTGTTTTTCTTCATAAGAAGGGTTGGGCAAGATGAACTTTTGGGTCATGTCCAGCACTAAAATTCTTTGCTTCTGATCTGTCCCGGGCCCTGCGCCTGTGGCAGTGGTGGTATCGAGCTAGTCAAAAAGCTTCGCCCCTATCTGTCCCTCACCCTACCGGGGGAGAGGCAGAACCTCTCCCTCTTGGTTGCTTCTTTAGTGTCCTTGTAGGACCCACGTGGTGGCCATCTCTTGTCAGGGGGGGTCCAGACTTGGCTCTGCGGGCTTCCCAGGGGCTACATGGGGAGAGGATCCTTCATGCATCAGAGTATCCCAGGCTGGAGGCTATGCCTTATCCCCACCTGTCGGAACCAAACCGTGGTCCCCAGGCTTCAGCAGGCCCAACGCGCAGGCGCAACCACCAGCTTGTCGCGAGGCGGACAAACGCCGAGGCCGAGGCAAGGTGAGAGGGCGGGGCTGACAAGACCCCGCCTCCGTGGCGTCACGTGGGAGGCGGAGTCGGAAGTGTGACGGCGTGCGCGGGGCGGGGCTACTGCTGCGCGCGGGCGCGGGGGCGGGGCGCGGCGCGGCGCGGCGCGGCGCTCGCGGCGGCGGCTGCTGCCTGGGAGGGAGGCCGGGCAGGCGATAGAGCGGCGCCGCTCTCAACCTGACGGGGAAGTGGTCCCGGCGGCCGCGGCTGACTACCCCAGGGCGAACGGACGGACGACGGAGGCAGGAGCCGGGAGCCGAGCCGGGCGACCTAGAGAGCGAGCGGGTCAGGCTCAGCGTCGGCCACTCTGTCGGTCCGCTGAATGAAGTGCCCGCCCCGCTGAGCCCGAAGCCCGGCGCTTTCCCCGCAAGATGGACGGTTTCGCCGGCAGCCTCGGTGAGTACAGCTGGGGAGTCCTGCCTCTTCTGCGAAGGGTGGGAACTTTGTTCTCTCCGTACACAGCCCAGGCCCTGCCCTCCCCCCTGCCCCTCGGGGTGGCCGCGGCTCCACTGCACATGTTCCCTTCGAGGCTGCCGCCTCTTCGCGGACTCCGGTGGACTGAGGGCCCCTCCCCCATGTCCAGCCCTCCTCTGTGCTAGACCCTCCTTTCCTCCCGGAGCCCCTTTCATTGCAGAGCCCTCCAAAGGGGGAACCCCGTCCCTCTCAGGCCCCCCAATAGCTGGCACACCCCTCCCCGTACATTCATGGCTCCCCCCGCTCACTCCCCTTCAGAGTTGGGACACTTCTTCAAATCCAGGCTCCTCTTCAAGGTACAACATTCCACCCCCTTTCCACATACAGAGCTCTCTTTCAGGGTGGGGACAGCCTTTACCCGAACAGAGGCTGCTTTTTAGGGTGGGGACCCTCATTCCCTCTTCAGGAAGGGGGCATCCCCCGCCCCCCAGTCTTCACTTTAAATTTGGAGACTTTTCAGTATTCTTCAGAGTAGTAGGCAACTTCCTTTTCACTCCCTCCACTTCTCTGAGTATTTTGCAGTGGTGGAGAGACCTAGAATCATCGGAGCATCATTCGCTTAATACAGGAAAGGAAGAGGTGCATCTGTGTTGGGGGACCCTCTTTAAGAGTGAAAGCAGAAGTGTTTTCTGGCTCTGCATGCGTGCTGGGGAGAAGCGATTCTGCCCAATGAATCAATAGGAAAGGGGGCCTCTATCAGGGAAGGAAAGGATTCTCCATTTTTGGAAGATGTTGTCTTTGTGGAATGGAGAAAGGGAAGAGGTTGTTAAATAGGCTGAAGTGCCTTTTCAGTGTTCCTTTCACTCAGGTAATCTGGCTAGGAAAGTCACAGCACCAGGCTAGTATTGACTGCCCTAGAAACTGAGTCTGGAATTACTACTATTCTTCGAGGCCATTGGAATCTAGTGAAAGATTGAGTTCAACTGTTACAATGGTGAGAGAACAGTTTCAGCTTTGGCTGATAACGCAGTTATGTGATACCTACTACTGGAATTGTATTTTGAGTTTTTTATGTGCAGGTAGCTTGTATTCAGACGCCTTTCTTTTACGTTTCTTGATGATAAGTCTCTACTTGGTTAATGTTCACTGATCAGTGAGCAGTCTGTCCATACATAGGCCGTACTATATCCAGATAATATCGAGATGAGATGGGTTTTTAAAATCTAAAGTGAAAAAGTAAGTTAAAGAGCAATGGGCCCATAATAGATATTAAATAGCAAAATCCATAATTTTGGCCTTCCCTTTTTCTTGGGTAGAAAAAATTGTTGTTACAGTGCTTTCAGAGTGGAAATCCTAAAATAGGAGGCAACTGAGTGTTGTGTTACTCGTTCCTCCTCAAAGGCACCTGTTGTCCATTATCTAACCTTTGATGTCTTGTAATTCCTTACTTAGGTTGGGCGCCTTTTAGAGAGACATCCATTTTTCCCTGGTTCTTTTTTAGCTCCATGCGTTGGTTTATTCACAGTAAATGTTGGACCGAAAAACTTGTCCTATATGTCCGCTAAAGGGCTGATCATATACTGAAGTAAAAATTGAGTGTCTTTTTAGGGGATGTTGTGGAGAGCTGTGTTATCTTTGTACTGTATTGGGTCCTCATCCTGTAGGAATGGGGAGATCACTATTCACTTTAACTTCTTTCCTGTTGGTTCTAAAGACTTCTGGAGGGTTTGGTAAAGCTTCATTTTCTGTAAGTGTTTAGAAGGAGTCTTTCTCACCAGTTGGGGCACTTAAGTTTATTTTCAAACATTGGTTATGCTTTGTAATAGCTTTCTTTCTTAACCAGTTCATGAGGCAAGTGATATAAAAGACCGAGAGATGAAGATGAATTGCATTTGGGGCTCACACTTTTCGTAAAGAGCGTCATTGTTGACCCTAATGTTGGATTTAAAAAATTCATTTGATGCCATGCTTTGGGTGGTATGTGATGAGACTTTTCTTTAGATATGGTGTTAATCAGGAGCAGAGGAGATATGCCTATCAGAGGAACCTGCGTCTGCAGAGAGGGAAGGAAATGGTTCCTGGCAGTATTTCTGGAGCTGCTCTTGATGAAGATACTTCTCAGTGGGAGCTCTGTGCTTTCTCTTTCTGTGCCCCTTGTAAGAGTAAAACTAGGCCCCATCTTAATTGAAACCTTAAAGGGGTGGGGGAGGAGTAGTGCTGGTATATTTTACTGGTAGTCTTTAAGCAGAGCTTTGCCCAGCTCTTGCCAAATTTCTTGTTTCTGTTCTCTGCAGTTAATTAGCCTAGAGCTTAGAGTTACATTGATCTTTATTTTATCAGGAGAGCCATGAATATAAAGGCAAGTACTTCTACTCTAGTAGATGTTTAAAAACTTTTTTTTTTTTTAAACCAAACAAGAATTCAAAACATGTGAAGTTCTTCTGGGGTTACAAGTATTGAAAGCATTTATCCTCAAGGAAGTATGTGTGTATTTCCTTTTACATATTAGATAGGTTCTTGAAAAATGGTGAAAAAAAAACTACATTTTTATAAGCAGAAAAATTGAGTGCTTTATAAACAGAACAATTTTAGAGAAGAGATTATTTAAGAGAATCCTGTGGTGACTCATTTTGGGAAGTGAAAAACTTAAAATTCAAACTGTACCCTTGATTGTTGCATGTTTAGATAAGAAAACCACTGTATTATGTACATTTTATAAGATGTCTAATGGCAATTAAGACTAGTGTTTTTTTAAATCATATGAATGGTAGATGATTGGCCATTTTATAAATGCCACATTGAAGTTACATGGTACTGATTATATTATCTTTGTTTTACATAAAAAGAACTGAAGAATTCTTTTAATCTCCGCAACTGATGAATTTCAGGCAACTTGGCTGGCAGGTGTTTGTACTCTGGAATTTCCCTTAGGTATTATTAATATATCTTTTAATTCACGAATTATGGCAACTTAAGGCAGCACTGTAGAAACTTTTTTTTTTTTTTTTGTTAAGGAGCGAAAGCTACTCAATTACCTTGATGTCTTGCCTCCAAATCACTACATATAGATACCCATGTGCAAAATGTATATACTGTGTATATTTTAAATCTCAGGTCTATGTGCAAAAGTGGGAAACTATTCGTACAGCTTTTACCGATTTTTTGTAAGGCAGGGATTGGGTGCATTTCATGCTTAATCTTTTTAGAATCTCTTTCGTAATAGAGGTTTAATTTTAAGACTTTTATCTTGGAATTAACCTAGAGATTAGTCTGTTTGCATTTGAAAGAAACCTTATACCTAACCGTGTCAGCTTTAAATTTTTCTGCCTCAAAAGTTAAACAGCAAAACTTAAAATCTTCCCCCTAAGAAAAATCGTAGTGAACGAAACTGTTGGATTAGGATCTATAAGAAACAGTATTCTGGGTGCAGGGTATAAATGTGAACAAGTATAGCAGTATGCTTCAACTTCCGGACTGTTAGTCTTTTTAACATCACATTGTTAGAACTGTGATTTCTCATCACAGATTTAGTCTTGCTTTCTTAAAGGAACAACGCTGTATGTGATTTTCAAATATTAATCTAAAGCATTCCTTATTTACATGAAAATGTTTCTCATGTTTATTTGGAGAGGTTTTTTTAAAACTTTTTTTATTGGTTGCTTGTCTTTTGAAGAGTTCAAGATAGACTTAAGTTATGTAACAGGACATGAGTAGTAACTCTTAAATAGTAGAGCATCTTCACGAGTTAGCTAGAGTATTTTTCAACATGTATATGGATTACCATCGAGCATGGACTAGCACTATGCTAGGTGGTTCTCATGGGAAAGACAAGTAAAAGACATGCTTTTTGCCCTTTAGGAGCTTACTGCCTGGTTTTTAAAATAAGTACCATGACCAGGTACAGTGGCTCACGCCTGTAGTCCCAGCACTGTGGGAAACCGAGGTGGAATGATCGATTGAGCCCAGTAGTTTGAGACCAGCCTGGGCAACATAGCAAGACCCTCTCTCTACAAAAAAACAAAAATAGGCGTAGTGGCATGCGCCTGTAACCCCAGCAACTTGGGAGACTGAGGCAGGAGGAGCACTTGAGCACAGGAATTAAAGGTTGCAGTGAGCTACAATAGTACCACTGCACTCCACTGGGCCACAAAGCAAACCTCTGCCTCTAAAAAAAAAATAATAATAAAGTATATACTGTATGTAGAGATGTTTACTATTAAGCGTACGTACCAGAAATGGGGATGAAGGGAGGAAACACCGTTTAGAATGCTGTGCTGTGTTTCAAGCAACTTCTGAGAGAACATTTGTTGGTTGCTAGATTTATCTCTGTAGAGCTTGGCTTTTTGAAACAATGAAATAATTTATTTAGCAGTTCAAATTCTAGGGAGTCTTTCTCTGTCTTATGTGTAAGTTGGAATAACACGTAGCAAAATATTGTGTTTTATATGTGGGAGTCCATATCTGTAACATGTAAAACTTTAATATTCTTAAGAAATTTTAGAAAAATATTTTGATGTTTAAAATAGATTCTAATACTTGTATAAAGTTTAGGGGAAGAATTCATCTAGTATTACCTCAGTGTGGAAGATTCCCAGATCTATAGTATATTTCTTTTTGTGTGTGTGTCTGACGGAGTCTTGCTCTGTCTCCCAGGCTGGAATACAATGGTGCAATCTCAGCTCACTGCAACTTCTGCCTTCTTGGTTCAGGCGATTCTCCTGCCTCAGCCTCCCGAGTAGCTGGAATTACAGTCGTGTACCCCCAAACCCGGCTAATTTTTGTATTTTTAGTAGAGACAGGGTTTCACCATGTTGGCCAGGCTGGTCTCAAACCCCTGACTTTGGGTAATCCACCCACCTTGACCTCCCAAATTTCTGGGATTACAAGTATGAGCCACTGCGCCTGACCCTATAGTATATTTCTATGTCTGTATATGATCTCTTACCCTTTAGCTGTCTTATGCTATTATAATGGCTTAATTT